CGAGTGCTACAGGTTCTCACTAGTAGTCCAGGCCAGATGTGAACTCACCAGCTTGGCCTCCAACTCTGATCCTTCTTTTCTTTTCTTGGTACCAGGGATGGAACTCGGGTCCTTGCGCTTGCAAGGTAAGCGATGGAACCACTGAGCTAAATCCCCAGCCCGACTCCGATCCTTCTGCCTCAGCCTCCCAAGTGCTGGGATTACAGGCATGCGCCACCACACTCAGCTATTTCCACTTTAAATTTTAAATGTCAGAGTTGTATTCTGTTTGCATTTGGGGAAGCAAAAGTTTGTGATGTTTTGGTTGTTTCATTTAACGGAAAGCCTTCCCTCTACTCAACAATTTCTCGATGGCAGCAAGTCAGAACCATGACTGAGTGCCGGTGGCAAAGCCAGGAAAGTGCGGGCGCCTGAACTGCCCACTGCACAGTGGCTCTGCCTCTGCCAGAGCGAGGGCAGCACCGGGCCCCAGCGCAGGCTCTCAGCTCCTCACCTGTGTACAGCAGCAGCCAGATCAGTGAGCAGAGCAGCTCCAGGGCTAGCACGGCCAGGAGAAGGTCGAGGTACAGCCTGCCAGGCCCCGGGAAGGAGTGCTGCGCACACAGCACCAGTAGCAGTGCCGCATTGCCTGTGGGGACAGCGGACAGAGCGGATGTGAGACACAGCGTTGGTCTCCCCAAGGTTGCTGGGCCCTTCGGTTCCGGCCGAGCCCCCACAACACTGGGGACTTCTGGTGTGGCAGTGACGGGAGCATCTCCAACCATCACTGGTTGGGCACAGAGAGCCTGCAAGCCTCTGGGTCCCTGGGCGACACAGCTGCCTGTTACTGACAGCAAGGGCTTTCCACCACTCCGAGTCTACTGGAATCAGTGACTCAGAGCTCCGCCTAAGATGCCGCCAGAAGGCCCAGGAGACTGGAGTGGAGCCTCCTGCCCCACCTCTCACAGGGCCAGAGACCACAAATTCAAATTCTCTATTTTTAGGGTCAGGGTCTCACCATGTAGCCCAGGCTGGCCTCCAACTCCAGGCAATCCCCCGTCTCAGCCTCCCAAGTACTGGGATTACAGGTGTGTAACACTACACCTAGCTGGGTTTATACACCATAACGATAACTCCCTGCTGGGTGGTGGGTGTTCTGGCACTCTGCAGGGGGCGGCAGGAGGGTCACAAGTTCAAGCACAGCCTAGGCAACTTAGTGACTTTGCAAAATACTGTCTCAAAATAATTTTAGAAAGGGCTTGTGGAGTAGCTCAGTGTGGCCTTGAACTTATTATGCAGCCTAAACTGCCTTCCAACTTGGAGGAACCCTCCTGCCTCAGCCTCCTGAGTACTGGGATTACAGGCATGAGCCAGCACACTCAGCTGTTTCCCACAGCATCTTATCTCAGAATTTCCCGAAACTTATTTAACATACTATTTATCTAAATCTGATCTAGGGGAAAACAATGCTTCTTTTTCTTCTCTGTCACTTTTTTTTTGGTGGGGGGGATACTAGGGATTCAACCTGAGGCCTTTGCACTGAGCTATATAGCCACCCCTTTTTATTTTTTGAGACAGGGAGGGTCTTGGTAAATTGCTTAACTGTCCAGGCTGGGCTCCATCTTTCCATCCTCCTGCCCCAGCCTCCCAGGCTGTAGAGACCACAGGGTGCACAGCCGTGGCCACCTCTCATCTGTACTCCCTGATGGAGAAGAATGACCGTGAGGCAAAGGGTTGAGTTTAAATAGCCTCTCAGAACTACATAAAGCTGGGCCTGGTTTGCTGGCACATGCTTATAATCCCAGCACTTAGGGAGGCAGAGGCAGGAAAATCTCAAGTTCAAGTCATCAAAGTACAAAGGCCTGGGGATGTAGCTCAGTGGTAGAGCACCTTGGGGTTCAATCCCCGGTACTAGAAAAAGAAAAAAATCTACACGAAGCTTCATCCTGCCGAGCCCTACCTCACCCATGGCCAGCACAGTGCATTAGCATCACCGAAAGATACTCACAAGTGCGTTTTGTGAGCAATACAAAGCTTTACGGCATTTCTGGAGAAGAACAGGGTGGGGGGGATGTCTACACAGATATGAAACAGCTTTTTTATTTTTATGTTTTTGTTTGAGACAAGGTCTTGCTACTCTGTAGTTCAGTTCAAGCTGGCTTTGAACTCACTGTGTAGCCCAGGCTGGCCTACAACTCAGATCCTCCTGCCTCAGCCTCCCAGGGGCTGGGATTATGAGTGCACCACCAACCCTAGCACTAGACCTCTTCATAAAAATTTTTTTTTGAAATTTTGAGACAGGGTCTCACTATCACTAAATTGCCTAGGCTGGGGCTGAACTTGTAACCTTCCTGCCTCAGCCTTCTAGGGTGCTAGTATCACAGGCATGTGCCATCATGCCTTTTTTCTGGTTCCTAATAACACACACACAAAAAAAATTAAAGAAAATAGAAACCAGCTAGATACCCGCCCTAATTCTTTTAATTGTTTGAGTTCTTCCGTGAACAATTTAAAAGAGATACCACCTGTGATTAAACTAAAGGTCATCTGTTAAAAAGCAGATCATGATTAAAGGTATAAGGTCAAAACAATCTGAAAATGCAGATTTTGGAAAGAAGCTCAGATAAGGGCTGGGCGTGGAGGCGCATACCTGACGTGGTGCACTCAGAGGCTGAATCAGGAGGGTCTTTCAAGTTCAAGGCCGGCCTGAACTACACAGTGAGGCCCTGTCTCAAAAACTCAAAAACAAAACCCCCCTAAAATGAAAAAAATCAGTCTCTATGGGCCTCAGAAACACTTTCCAACTAGCCATGGTAGTACATGCCTCTATAATCCCAGGTTTTTGGGAGGCAGAGGCAGGAGAATTTCAAGTTCAAGGCTAGTCTGGGCAACTTAGCAAGACCATGTCTCAAAATAAAAATAAAAAATGACTCAGTGCTCTGTGAGTTCAATCTCCAGGACCACAAAAAACAAAACCAAAAATTGTTTCTGGCCCATCAGGTGAGAAACTTACTTTGGTCTGGGATCAGACAGGATCTGTCAGGGCCCAGTTTCTGGTTTTATCCTGGCTTAGGGCGACATCTTCTGGCCACAGCAGAGTACTACACATCGGCACCCACCCTGGTAACCAAGCTGAAATATCAAAAACAAACCAGACCTACCCCCCATTAAGGCCTGAAGTCAGGGCCTTTTCCTGAGCAACATTCCCTGTTCCTTTTTAAATTCTGAGACACAGCCTCACTAAAATGTCCACGCTGGGGTGGAACTTGCAATCCTCCTGCCTCAGCCGCTCAGAATGCTGGGATCACAGGTATGTGCCACAACACCTGGCGAAAAATGTCAAACAGCGACAGCACTTCAATTTCCTTAAGATTAACAAGCCTGTTACCGGCAGAAGCGAGGGGGCCGGGGTGCAGGTCAATGGTAGAGCACATACTTAGCAAAAAAACAAGCCACAAGGTGGGGAGGCCTCTACTCCACACAGGGACACATGGGTGCAATGTTCATAACAAATACAGATTTCAAGTCAAAGGGAAGTCCATGATTACTGAGCCTCTGTATCTTACATATTATAAGAAAAGCTTCAAGACAGTCAAGTAATCCAAATTCTAGTAGCCACAAACACACATCACTCTAAAATGAGGGCGTATGTTTTGATTATAAAATCAAATTTTGGGGGGGCCGGGGATGTAGCTCAGTGGCGCCACACCTGCCTCGCAAGTGTAAAGTCCTGAGTTTCATCCCTGGTATCCCTCCCCCCTCAAAAAAAAACTCAATAGGAAAATCAAATTTGGGGGGCCCAGTACAGCATGGCCATAATTCCAGCATTTGGGAGGCTGAGGCAGGAGAAGAGATATGAGTTCAAATCCAGCTGGAACTATATAACAAGACCTTGTCCCAAAAAACCAAAACCAAAGGGCGGGGGATTTAGCTCAGTGGCACCATGCCTGCCTCGAAAGTGCAAGGGCCTGAGTTCGATCCCAGGTACAACAAAGAAAAACAAAACCAAACCCAAACCAACAAAAAACATCAAATTTCAACCTGGTGTGGTGGTGCACACTTGTTGTCCCAGCACTTGGGAAGCAGAGGCAGGAGAATCTGGAGTTCAAGGATAGTCTGAGTGGCACAGCTACATGAGGTCAGTCTGGACTACACAGTGAAGTCCTGGTCCAAGAAACCCCTAAAACATTTCACATGGCCTCCCACTGCCACCCGGAGGGCAGGCGGGCATATCCCCACTCACCAGCTGAGTGCGTCAGCAGGGCCAGTGTGGTCAGTGGCCTCGTGGCACGGTAGATGCGGCCGTAGCCGCGGCCCCGAACCCTACCGTGGTGGTACTGGAGGTAGCGCTCGAGCAACAGGTGCAGGACCCACATTGCCACCTTGCCCAGGACGACGACGCTCTGCACCTTCAGCGGGCTGGTGTAGTTCCCCGGGCACCTGTCCTCGTTTGGGTCGGGGTAGGAGCAAAGCACGCCTGTTAGAAACGCCAAGACCACGAAGACCACCTGGGAGACAGGGAGTGGCAGGCTCAGTACTGTGTGTGACTAAGAAACAACTGCCACCAAACCTAAAAAAAGTGTCCCTTTCTTTGAGACAGGGTCTATGTAATTCCTATGTAGCCCAAGTTGGCCTTGAACTCACATATCTGTAATCCCAGCACTCAGGAGACTGAGGCAGGAGGATGGAAAGTTTGAGATCAGCCTAGGCAACTTATTAAGATCCTTCTTGACATAAACTAGAAAGCGCTGGGGATATAGCTCGTATGTAGACCCAAAGAAGCTCACTCCACCAATGCACACACAAACCCTGCAGGGATAGCCCCCTGGCACTTACGTGTATGAGCAGGAGAAGACTGGCTATGAGCAGCGTGGGCAGGGGCTGGAACCTGGGGCTGAAGTGCACCTGCAGCGAGTGCTGTGGGAGGAGGGGGGTCTCCAGGAGCGGGTCATCTTCAATGCTCTGGACCAGGTCCAAGGAACCCTGCGGTGCAAAACACCCAAGTTAGCTGGGTGCAGTGGTGTGGGCTGTGATTCTGGCACTGGAGAGGCTGAGGCAGGAGGATCACCACAAGTTCAAGGCAGCCTGAACCACATAGGAAGAATCCATATCCAAAACAAAAAAGAAAAGAAAACAAAACCCTTGAAGTTACAGTCACTATTTTCTGGTGGACATTTCTAAGACATTTATAAAGCCTTTTAAACCATGACACAAGCTAGAGGGACAAGACAGCATAACCCCACATAAAGCAAGCTTAAAATAATACTCTCATCTAGAAACATGAGCCAGAATCAACTTCTCCTTTCAGTCTCGGGTGTCAGCTCCTTAGTCCCAGTGCACAGTGGCTGACACATGAGAAGTACACACAGGCAGCAATCCTCCCAGTGCTGGGATCACAAGCAAGCGCCACCACACCCAGCGTGCTATTCTATACTCCAGCTGTGCAGTCTCCTATGACTCATGATAGGCCATATTTTCTTCTTCCAAGCCAGGTTTTTTTTTCCTTTCTTCCCTAGTGGAGGGATGGTGATGAGAGCCTCATGCATGCTACCAGGTACTCTACTGCTGGGCCCACCCAATGGTTCTCCATTCCCACCGTCACTAACCTCCTTACTACAGAGGACAAGTCTGCCAATTCCACTCACAGCCTCTTCCCTCTACTGTGACAGCAAGTGTCTCTGGGAGCACCTTACCCTTCCTCCCCTACTCTGGCTAAGGGCAGGCACGGAACAACCCTGCCTGTGTGCGGAGGAAGGCAGACCGGGCTGCAGCCCCCTTGACCAAGTCAGTCCTTGTCTCCGTAAACCATCTGAGTCCACTGCAGACAAAGGACCCTACACAGGGTGTGTGACTCAGCTCCCGTGAGGGTCTGGGCCCGGGGCAGGTCCAGAACTTCTAGCTTTGTACCAAATGCTAGAAACCCTATCTCTCCCCCAAGCAGGCGACTCACTCAGATCTACAGTAACAGCTCTGTCACTCTGTTATACGGGACACATTACTCTCCAACAGTCTGGCCCAGGAGAGTTCTAGGATTGCATTCCTGAAAGGAAAAGCAGGTTCGAGAACTCCAGGGGCGGCTTCAGAGCAACCAAGAAACACGGCGTGTGCTTTTCTATGTCTCATTTTTCTCTTAGGTATTTATTTTTTTCCATAAATCGTGAGCTCATGAATCACAGCCTTAAAAATCCAAAAACAACAGATTTTGTTTTCCTGTATATCAGTTTTGGAAATTTTAAGACTTTTCTTTAGAAATTGTTATTTTGTTAGGAATAACTGTGGTCACTATTTGTACAAGACCCGACGCGCTTGTAGTGCTGTCACCTGGCTTTTTCAGGGTCATATTTGTTCGTTTATTAACCCAAAACAGGACTTTACGGCAACTGTCAACTTCGCATTTTTAGGGGCCAGGAATTTCATGAGGTGCCAATGGGTAACCCAGCTAATCCTGGGAACAAATACTTGTTTCCCCTGGAGCTGCCTTAATAAACTCAAAGACGTGAGATCTCGCACTACTGCCATCGTCCCGCGCCGCACACACGGGCAGACTCTCCGGCCCCGCTCGGGCTCCGGACGGGAGGTGAGTCTCGCCGGCCAACCAGACGGCGGGCAGCACCTGACCTCCTCTCCCGCGCGCGCTCCCGGCGCTGCAGCCACAGGTCCGCCGGGAGCGCGCCCCGCGCCAGGTGACGCTCGGGTTCCGGGCGGGTCGCCTGCCACCGCGAGCCCACCGACCTCCCCCGGGCCTGCGCGCCGCGGACCCCATGCCACAGTCCCCGCCCCGTCACCTCTGGGCACTCACGTCCTCCACCCGGCCCCGAGCAGCCATCTCCCGACGCCGCCCGTTGCGTCAGCCCTGAACCCACCACCTGCGCAGGGAACCGCCCCGGACACACCCACTGCACCCGCCCCGCCCGGTCCAGCCGGCAGCCCCCGCCCGCTGCCGATTGGGTGAGGCGGAGGGAGGGGCGTGCCCGCCCTGAAAGCGGGGCAGTGGGCCCCACCCGCCTTGGGACAGACCAGTTCCGGGCTCTGCCGTCGGAGTCAGCGAGGGGCGGGACGCGCCCCTGGCCCCGGACCGAACTACGGCGGCCGCCACCTGCCGCTGTTCAAAACGCGAGCTTCCTTCCGGCCTTCGTAGTGTTAGTCGGCCTGAAGGGCCGGTGCTTAGAGAGAACCCGCTGTAACGCCCTGCTCTGCCAGCAGAGGGGGCGCGAGCGAAGGGCCTCCAGGTTCCAGCGATAAGAAACATGCGGCGCGGCATTTTTACGGCTTTTGTTCCTTTTTAAGTAATTTTAAAAATTTAAATGCATTTTTCTGATAATACATGATAGCTTTAAAAATGCATGCAAACAAGGAAAGTGAAGTTTTATGTTAATACCAGTCCCTGAAGGGTACCCTGATATCAGTTGGAGCGTATTATTTACACGCTCATCCTTTTACTTTTTCCAAAAAAAAATTTTGAGACAGGGTCTCGCTATGTAGCCCACGCTGGCCGCGAGTCTGCGGCGATCCTTCTGCCTCAGCCTCCCGAGTGCTGGGATTACAGGCGTGCGCCACCATGTCCAGCTACCTTCATCAGTTATTATAATGCTTATTATCATTATTATTACCACGGAGAATAGTGTGATCCTGTGAATGAGGTTGGGGAAATAACTCAATGTCAGTGAAGAAAAAGATTACATAAGGCCCCACATGATCCTAAAATCTCACAATCCTGAGATTCTGATTTCTCAAGAGCCCTTCGTAGACATGCATTTCCCCTCCATCTCCTGTTCTGAAGATTGTCAAGCGTACTGTTGAGAAATGTTGAAAGATTTGTTGTTAATATTATGCAACTGTAAGACCGAGGGCCTTACCAAACGCTCCGAGGAGCTGACTGCAGCGAAGAACACCCAGGAAGGAACACACCGGACAAGTTGGAAAATAAAACAGACCTTTATTAGTCTGGCCAGACGGCACTCCCAAAGCAAAATAGCTTAGAGAGGCAACTGGCTCAGAGTCCGAGGCTGTTCTTATAGGGGGTTGAGGGGGAAGTTAACACATAGAATTAAAGAAAAGGAGACAAAGGTTAGTGATCGACTGTCATGTACTGATGGTCAGCAGACATTTGCAGCTTGTTCTATAGATTGTGGTGTCCGGAACATCAGTTCCAGGCAAACAAGGAGTTGAGTAGTTTACTTTGGGACTTTAGGTCTGTTACAGATTTTATCTAGTGTCCCAAAACTAACAAGCATCTTTATCCATTAACTCACATTTAATCACAATGGGGCTGGAGAAAAGGAACAAAGGTTATGCAGTCCCACACAATGAATGCTCTGTATCTGTGTCCACACTTCCCCTTTTTAAGGGACAGGTTCTCACTAATATTGCAAGGCCAGTCTTGAACTTCTGGGCTCAGGCAATCCTGCCTCAGTCTCCCAAAGCTGGAAATATGAACACAGATGCATAGGAACTGCCTAGCCTCCCCCCCCACCCCGCCCCCCGCTCCCACTAGGATCCCCCCCGCTCCCACTAGGATCCAGTCCAGGTTTACACATTGCGCTTAGTTATGTTAGTTATGTTGTTAGGTCCTGCGTCTTCTTTTTTTTTCTTTCTTTCTTTTTTTAATGGTACCAGGAATCAAATCCAGGGCCTCTCATTGGCCAGGCAGAAGCTGTGCTGCTGAGCTACATCCCCAGCCCAAGACCTGCATCTTAATAGTGCCCTGTTTTGAATGGAAGTTTGAATTCTGCATTTTGCTAAACGTTTGTTATTGAGCACTTGATTTATATTCTCCGGAACTCATCTTCCTCATCTAAAAATTAAATTGTTACTTCCCATTTTGTAGAGATTTTTGTTTAAATAAATGTAATGGTATTCTTTCAGTGCTGTCGACAAAATACTCAGCAAGACCGGTGTGGTGGTGCTTGCCTATAATCTCACTCTGGGAGGCTGAGACAGGAGGATCCTAAATTAGGGCCCAGCCTGGGCAATTTAGGGATTTTACAATATCCTGTCTCAAAATAAAGGGGTGGGGCCTGTAGCTGTAGCTCAGTCTCACGGCCCTGGGTCAATCCCTAGTACCAAAAAAAAAATACTAAGCAAATATTAGTCACCTTTTTTGCTAAGTCACGTTTATTGAGGTATTATTAGCACACAGTCCTTGGTTTAATAATACAATAAAATGTATGGAAATTTTTAAAATTTTTTTTGGTAACAGGGATTGAACTCGAGTCATTGCACTTGCACAGCAGGCGGCGAAATCACTGAGCTAAATCCCCGCCCCCCTTTTTTTTTTTTGATACCGGGGATCGAACTCAGATCCTTGCGCTTGCGCAGCAGGTGGCGAAGCCACTGAGCTAAATCCCCGGCCCTGCAGGTGGAAAGTTTTCAAAGTAAAGTTTTTTGAGGAAAAGGATAACGGTGTACTTGGTAGGCTAAAGGGCTGGCTCACACTTTCAGGTAGGAAGAATTGTGCTCACCCAATATGGACACGCGGGGAGCAGCGGTGTGCAGATGGAACCCCGATTTTCCGTGAGGGGCATGGACCGATGAGGGGGTCAGGCTAGGCGTGACCTTCAGGAGGGACCCAGCCTCCAGGAGTGCTGTCGGGAATCGAGGTGACCTTTAGAAGGAAGGAGTCTGAGGCGCTGGTCTGACTGCTTTGTTTGGGCCTAGCCTTGAGCCATTCGGTGCTGCTTGGTGCTTGGTGTATCTAGGTCCTAAGTTAGAAATAAAGGCAAATGCGTCATGGTTACTAAAAGGCATTGAGATGGATGTTAGGAAACAGAGAAGCAGAAGCAGCACGAAGGAGCCTTGGGCGCCGCTCTGTACGGGCCCTCCGCATTGCAGGGTTTGAGGCCCCGCCCCGCGTGGGGCAAGCAGAGACCGACGGGAAGCAAGGCCGTTCCTGGGGCTCCGGGCAGGGTGCACCCTGCCAGCAAATGTGTTGTTAAAGGGCTGCGGGGACAGATGATAGAGAAAAGGAATTAAAACAGTTATCAACAGTAAATCTTATTAAAATCCATATAATGCTCCAGTTGTTACAGTGGTAGATGGATGGATGGATAGATAGGTAGGTAGGTAGGTAGATAGATAGATAGATAGATAGGTAGATGATAGATAGATGGATGGATTTTTTTTTTTCCAATGCTGAGGATGCAACCCAGGGCCTCGAGCATACTAAGCATGTGTTCTGCAGCTGAGCTACTCCCCAGCCCTATTAAAGCCATTTAGATAAGCATAGCTCTGGAAGGAAATTGTATCTACAAAAGGATCCACCCCTTCCTTTTTGCAAGAGTGAAGATGTTTTGATGAAGGTGGTCATCTTTGTTTATCTATGAGGAGAGGGGTGCAAAGAGAGGTAGAGAACTTGGCTTTTTATTTATTTATTTATTTTTGAGACAGGGACTTCCTCTGTAGCGCAGGCTGGCCTCGAACTCATAGTGCTTTGTGTCTTTCAAAGAAAGCACTGTGTACCACAAATAGTGTTGTAACCAAAGGGTGACAAAGGTCTCTGTTAGGGGTCCCTGGGACTTAGGAACCTTTGCGCTAGCAGCTTCTCCTCCCTCATTATTGCTTTGTTTTTCTTCTAAAGTTCTTGTGATCTCAAATCCTGACATTTACAAACAGTTGTTTTTGAAGGCAGAGTCGGATTTTTATTTTCATTTCACTGACTAAATTAGGAGTGAAAGAACAAGCTTGCTAAAATTTCCATAGATGATTTATCTTTGGATAGATACCAAATATATGAAGTTTCAGAGCAAAATCAAAATTTATTTAAAAGTTTTAAGAAAAACACAGAAACTCAGGAAGAAAATGAATTTTGTAACCTTCACGAAAATCAGGTGGTCTCCTCCTGGGAGTTAGAGCTGAGCTCAGCTGACCGAGGCTCTTTCCCGTTTCCATCTTAGTGCAGTCCCGGTTCCTGCAGTCAGCCGGGCCAGTCTGCAGCATTTCTGGGAGGGTTTTCTTCTATCAGAAATAATCAGCCAGGCATGGTGTGCAGCCTGCAGTCCTAGCCATTGGGGGCTGAGGGAGAGGGTCTCGTTTCAGCCCAGTCTGGACAACAGAGCAAGATTCTTACCCTCTCCCAGGTCAAAAAAGAAAGAGGGAGAAACAGACAGAGAGACAGACAGAGTATAATCTCAGCATTCAGGAGGCTGAGGCAGGAGGATTGCTTGGGCCAGCATGGGCTCCATAGTGAGTTCAAGGCCAGCCTGAACTACATAGCTAGACCCTGTCTCAAAAAAAAAGAAGACTCAAGAATCAGCTCCAGGATCCCTGATGCCCATCCTCCTAATCAGCCTTCCTTCCACTTCTCCTCTGAGGCTTTATAGCCTTTATAGAAACACAGCAACATAAATTAAAGTAAAATGGTTTTTACATTTTATACAAAGCGAAGGAATAGATCTATATGCACTGGTCTACATGTGCAACAGAAACATATAGCTAAGTAAAACAAATTCAATTTCCATTTATAGGGGAAAATTCATTGGAATGTTTGGTTATTTAATCATTTATTGGTGTTTTGAAACAGGGTCTCAGTATACAGTTCAGATTGGCTTAGCTTTGAACTCACTACGTTGTCCAGGTTGGCCCTGAACTCAAAGTGATCCTCCTCCCTCAGCCTCCTGAGTGCTGGGATTACAGGCCTGAGCTACCACCACATTTGGATAGGTTTTGTATGTTTATAAAAATATTTCAAAAGAATATATAATAACCATTAATGGTTACATCTTCTGAATAGGACTGGGAATACAGAAAAATATTTTCATTCCAGTTTAAATTTTTCTGCATTCTGAAATTTTTACCACTTCTGACTTTTTGAAACTTATATTCTTATTTTTAATTATGCATATAACTTGTGATTACACAGTAAGCAGTGTGGTGTGCATATATTATAGATTTTTTCCTGTGTACTCTAATAACATATATCACACGGGCCAGGGAT